CCACAAATATGCAAATAAATTTAATTTATCATAGCGCCACTCGTCAAAGGAAGGGGGGCGACAATCATAAACTTTGACTCATATTGAACTCAAGCATTTAGATGGTCATTATTACGCATGAGCTGGAAATAGATTGGCGTTCTGTTCAAGCACATGCTCAGCCTACGGCTCGGAGGTAACAGTGTCCAAACCTCAGCCCATGCACAAGTATGACACATGACTAATGAGATCCCGCCCACTGTTCCCCAGGTGGGCAGCGGATTGACGGCAGCTGGCAGGAATCCAGCAAGACCTCTAGTATGGACCCCCCCCCATCGTCAGCACCACCATAAGGGTGCGATACTGAGGCCGTCCTGTACACGCCTGACAGGTGTCGTGGGATTGACGTGGAGTTTTCTATTTGCTGCAAGTTGAATTACCCTGAACATATTGTGGCAGGTTATCGCATCATGGGCTCCTTCAACCAGCAGCTTGGGCTTTGAAAGGTGAGAGTCAACACAGTAGTGTTCAGTGTCTGTGTGTGTGTGGTCCAGATATACCTTACCTTGTGAGGACCAAATGTCCCAGCAACGTGATGAATATCCCTTTTTTTTACCTTATGGGGACCAGTTTCCTGGGAAAACTTTGTTTTATAAAAAATCATGACTGCAATGAAAAAACTAAAAATGCAAAAACTCTTGTATTTTGTTTAGTTACTTATGCCTATGGTTAGGGCTCGGTAGGGGTTAAGTTTGTCATAGTTAGCATTAGGTTTGGTACGCTATCACTTACCTGCAATACCTAATACGTTATGGTTTGGTACGCTATCACTTACCTGCAGTACCTAATACGATACGGTTTGTATGCTATCACTTACCTGCAGTACCTAATACGTTACAGTTTGGTACACTATCACTTACCTGCAGTACCTAATACGTTACGGTTTGGTACACTATCACTTACCTGCAGTACCTAATACTAGTGCTGTAGTTCTCGAGACCGGTCTTGAGACCAATTTTTTGCGGCCTCGGTCTTGTCTTGGTCTCGACTCTATTTGGTCTCGGTCTTGTCTTGGTCTCGACCCTATTTGGTCTCGGTCTTGTCTTGGTCTCGGACACTTCATACACATCGCATGATAGCGAAGTCGGCAAAGAAATGTTCCAAAACGTCACCACACGTCACCATGTCACATGGTACAAAATCCTCGCGAGAGCAAGACTACTTGAGGCAGACCGTGCAGCACAAACTGGAACCGCCTCCGTGACGACACAACTTTGCCCTTATTGGCTGAAGAGTTTAGTCACACGCATGACATTTGTATCCCAGGAAGTTCCATTGCTTTATCTGCTATTTCTCCCGAAAAGCACATAAAGCAGTGAGAACTGGTTTCAGTTCATTTACCTGGTAAAATAAAGATTAAATAAATTACATAAATGCTCTAACAGTACACGTAAATTAGTGGTTTATTTATTGTTAGTTACTGTAATGTTGTGCTGCTTTATTTGTTTAATCGTCAGACATACCCATCAGAAAGACATACCTATCGGACATACCCATCAGAAAGACATACCAATGAGACATGCCGATCAGAAAGACATGCCTATCAGAAAGACATACCCATTAGACATGCCCATCAAAAAGACATGCCCACTAGACATAACTATCAGAAAGACATACCCATCAGAAAGACATGCCCATCAGAAAGACATGCCCACTAGACATAACTATCAGAAAGATATACCCATGAGACATGCCCATCAGAAAGACATGCCCATGAAGACATACCAATCAGACATACCCATCAGACATACCCATCAGAAAGACATACCGATCAGACATACAGATCAGAAAGACATACCTATCAGAAAGACATACCAATCAGAAAGACATACCCATCAGACATAACTATCAGAAAGACATACTGATCAGACATACCGATCAGAATGACATACCAATGAGACATGCCGATCAGAAAGACATGCCCATCAGAAAGACATACCTATCAGAAAAACATACCCATGAGACATACCAATCAGAAAGACATACCGATCAGACATACCAATCAGACAGACATACCTATCAGAAAGACATATGTATCAGAAAGACCAATACCAATGAAGACATAACAATCAGACATACCCATCAGACAGACATACCCATCAGACATACCCATCAGAAAGACATACCCATGAGACATACCCATCAGAAAGACATACCAATGAAGACATACCCATCAGAAAGATATACCCATGAGACATGCCGATCAGAAAGACATACCCATGAGACATGCCCATCAGAAAGACATGCCCATCAGAAAGACATACCCATGAGACATGCCCATCAAAAAGACATACCTATAAGACATGCCCATCAGAAAGACATACCCATGAGACATGCCCATCAGAAAGACATACCCATCAGAAAGACATACCCATCAGAAAGACATACCAATCAGACATACCTATCAGAAAGACATACCGATCAGACATGCCGATGTTATTGTCCTGGAAATACGGCCTTACTCTTGGGTGTTATTCGCTGGTGTTATTCTCTGGTGTTCCTCCCTCAGTGTTACACCTCCAGTGTTACTCCTTGATGTTTTTGTCCTGGAAATACGGCCTTACTCTTTGGTGGTATTCTCTGGTGTTCCTCCCTCAGTGTTACACCTCCAGTGTTACTCCTTGATGTTTTTGTCCTGGAAATACGGCCTTACTCTTTGGTGGTATTCTCTGGTGTTCCTCCCTCAGTGTTACACCTCCAGTGTTACTCCTTGATGTTTTTGTCCTGGAAATACGGC